AACGTGCACTTTGACCATAAAAATTGGGTCGCGTTCGGGCATGCGACGGGGTTGCGATGGGGGGTTCGCTACGGGTCGCGAATAGTTTTTGTGACGTAGGTGTTGTTGCTGTCTGGCACTAATGCCAGAAACAACAACATCATGACCAGAATTGACTGGTCTGTAAAAAATACTGGAACTGATGCATGGAGCTGAGGCTGGGGGATCTTCTTCAAACGGAGTATGTAGCATATACACCAGGCATTGTTCTTCAAAGGAAAGGAGCAGGGTTGATACTGGGGGCTTGGGTTGTTGTTTTTGTCCAACAAAAATATCAGAAACACCATTTTCAAGACCAGAATATACTTCCAGAGGAGCTGGGGATGGACCTGGCTCGTCAGGCAAACTATGAGCAGGTGGGAGGGACTGGGGAGGAATGATATTTATCAGCTTGGTTGAATTGAATTAATGGAAACCAGGGTGGTGGACTTTCCCCTTTGGTAGGGTGTCATCATGATGGACTGGATGTCAGATGGTGCAGGTCAGGTATGTATCTATGTATGAATCAGTAGGAATTCTATGCGATAATTTTCACAACCAAAGTGTAATTTCAAGTGTCCAAAGGTGTGTTTTGAAATTTTTTTGAAAGTTATCATCAAACAGCAATACAATCAGCAACACTACTAGTACTAGTAGTACTATTCTTGACCCTATCAGAGCTGCTAACAACAACAGAAGCAATGCTATCAATACTACCTGAAATCAACATGGGCCTCAACAAGTGTTTGTTGAGGTCAATGGCAAGAAGAGCTTTGCTCCTGGGGGGCAATCAGCAGCATTCTTTGAGGTGGAATCAGACTTGGAGACAGTAATAGGGGATAATACTAGTAGTTCAAGTGAGAAGGAAAACTTTCCAATGCTGGCTGAACAACATGCAGATATGTTCACCAATGTTATCACATAGGAAAGGAGCTGGGATGGAGCTGGGGTGACCCCTAGTACTGAGTTCTTCTGCTAGTAATACTACTAGTCTTAGTTCAAGGGTAAAGCTTTATGACAGGAGTAATCAGCAAAGGCAGAGCAGTTCCTTGTAGAATAAATAATTAGTATGCACACAAGTTCAATCTGATCTTCAAATCATTGTTGTCAACAAAACCAACCACATCACTTTGGAAACTAGCTTTTGACTTGTGTATCAAAGGCAGGATGATTACAACATGAGGGAAGATTGTTTTTGTACCTGATGTAGATAGAACTAGGCCAATAGCCTACAACCATACCTCATCTAGATTGAGGAGTACCAGTAAAAATCATGCAGCAGTACTATCAATTGCTTGATCCAAACTGCACTTTCATTACTGTCACTACACACCACAAAAAAATTATGCCCAACTTGTTAAACATTTAATGGATCATTCCTTTGAAGGACAGCCCCCTGGGGAGTACTACGTGCTAAATACTCAGTTTGAAGTTCATCCAACAGTATCTCCCAGTCATCATATTGCAGTTCTTGGTCCATTCTTATTTTCTTCTTATATACTGACTCATTTGACTAAAAAAGTTAGTCCATTTGCTAACAAATTTTTAACCTGCACATAAAAAAGTAAGGGTGTTTGTGTGTGTTACTAGGTGATCTCATACAGCCAGAAGAGAAAGACACCTCTTTACACCAACAAAGAAACTACAGGATCAAAGGTACAGTTTAGTAAACTGGAGATTTGATTGTTGTAAACTGTCATGGTACTACTAGTTTTGAGTTTTCAAAGGTCTACCACCAGTACAGCTAAGAACAAGGGCACAACCTGGCCTACCCTTGGTTACGTACATTTAATTGTAATACTTCAGTAAGGGAATTCCCCAGTCAGTACGGGATATGACTAAAATTATTCCAAATTCCCAGAAATAAGATTATTTGAATTGAAGTTGTCAAAGCAAATCTACTTTTTAAACTGTAGCTTTTGGTCCATCTTTCTATCATGGCAACTCCGACCAATCTCAGTCCTCGACTAGCACCATAATAACAAGAAGAGGCTTGTCATCACTGTTAGCTCACAATTTGGTACCTGAGTGGGAAGTCTAAGAGATCTTGATCTCAGGATGATGAGTGTCGAAGCAAGATCAGTTTCTTTTTTGAAATCAATACTTTCCACTCGAATCAAACCCGCGGTAAAGGAAGCACTATAATTGGACAGTCACAAGATTTGCTTTAACACATCCGGAGAGTTTGAGATCTGCAGTTCGAGCTTTGATGTTCCCATCGAAAAATTGAAATAAGAGCATTTGGTGTTCATCAATTTCCGATCAATGGAGTTTCGCAGATTTTGTATTCAAACTCGGCGCTTACAATTACTGCAAATATGAGCTTGGTATGATAACACATCGTTACCATGACCAATTCTCCTTATGAATGGATAAGAAAAATAGTAACTCGTTCTATAACGCTGTTTGCGTCTACCTTTTCTATTGTGTGAAATTCTTTGACCAGATCTACAATGCACTGCAAAAGCTCTAATTTGGGTGCATGTTTTACTTACGTACATGCCCACTGCTTTGCGCATATTTGATTTGTCAACATATCATGACAACTATTCCTCAGTTTTTTTCTTCTTCTTTCGTCTCCTCTTCTTGATTCCTCGCTCAAATGCAGAAATCGAAAGTTCGGCCATACGCTCTTCTTCCACTTTCGACTCCTTCTCCGCTCGTTGCGCATCGGTCAATCCAGCATCTTCCGCCTTGACAAAGACAGCTGCAACGTGAGGTACCAAGACGAGATCCACGTCGTCGTAACCCATGCATTCGAAGGCGGGGTAAACTTCACTCATACTTTCGTCATCATCGCCGTCATCGGTTTCTGTCTTCGTCACGATAGCTGTTCCGAGGTTGCCAACATACTCAAGATATGATTCTCCATCTAGTTCGCTTTGCTCCACAAATAAAAACCTGCCACCGGGTTTCAATACGCGCGCAGCTTCCTGGATGCTCTTCTTCCAGTCGAGGCCATTTTCTTTCATTTTCGCGGCAGATTGCAAACTTAATACTACATCCACCGATTGATCCTCCGTTTCCTTCAAGTCGTCTGCTCTTTGATCAACAAGTGAGACAACCCCAGAACCTCTACTCTTTTCTTGTGTCTTCAATTGTCGCCTAATGTTTACCGGCACTACGCCATCGGTCTCTAACGACGATGTGATGAGAGTTTCGATGGTTCTGGGAACAAATGTGACGGGTCTCCCGTCCTGGCATCCGAGAACGAGAGCTACGTCTGCAGTTCTAGGCGTCTGATTCGTACAAAGAGCCGCCGATATCCATTCGCATCTCATGTAGGTTACCATGTCCAGACCCATCTGAAGCGTCGTGCTACTTTCCGACGCAGCCGTTGGTGGAGATTGGACGAGCGGCGAAACAGTCGTGAAGGCATGCGAACCGGAAATCACGACCGACAGCATCGCGGCAACCACAATAGTTGGAGATTTCCACATCAAATTCATCTTCCTCAATTATTAGTAGTAAGCTATCCTTCAAAGCACCAACTATACAACAGAATCGTCGTATTTGTTCAGTGATTCTATTCGTAATTTGCGGTTCTTGTACCGAAAGATCTAAAAATCGGGAGAAATTATTCTCAGTCAGACGAATGAATTCGATACGTGCGAATTCTGGAGGTATCGACGCTTATTTTTTACTTTAGTTTTTGATCCTCCAGATGGAGACCGCGCAAATTTTGCTTTTCTCATCAAGTCAAACGGGTCGTAAAAGATGCTTTTGAATCATTATGACGTCAGTAAGCCATACTTCGAGAAATTACAAGTTTGACCTGACCCATAACCTATTGAACTACCTCAAGTGCAGAAACGACTTGACTTCTTCGACCCTTCAAATACACGCTTAGATCGCGAGATACAAATTCAACTTGGACCATTTCTACGTGAAAGTAAAACTCGTTGTGTTCGTCCCTCAGCACCAACCTGACGTCGTGGCGTAGTTCTCGAGTTTCTCTTCTTGTATCTACGGAATTGCCGAAGCTAACCATCTTCTTAACTCACACTAATTGCCAAACCGACATTATCAAGAGGTAGGTAAAATGAAGAAGAACTTATCGATTGGTGTATGAAAATGAAACATTGAACACCAAAGAAAAAGGAGGGATGGAGCAAGTTCAGAAGATTGCAGAAGAGATATAGCGCCCGGCTAAAGCTAGTTGATACGTCTCAGAAACAACATGTCAGCGTTCACGTAGATTCTCGAGAACAAGATTACGAATATTATTCCGTTCTGTAAATTCGTTCTCATTAACCAGTCTTTTTCTCTGCAATCCTTTGATTTCTGCGCCTTTTGATACAGAATTATAAAATATAATTTAAAAAATGAAGCTCGCTATCCTCTCCTCTCTTGTTGCCGGAACCGCCGCTTTCGTCGGTCCCCAGAAGGCACAAACCTCCACCGCCCTTTCTGCACAGAAATTCAAGGCTAAGCTTGCTTACGTTCCCTGCATTTCCGTCGAAGACCTTCCTGCCCCTGGATCTGCCACTTCCGGAGTTGCCGGAGGCCTTGCTATCTGCATTGCCGTCGACCCTAAGGGATCCGTCTACGCCCTTGGTGATAAGTGCCCACCTGTCAACCAGCCTCTTTCTTTCGGTAAGGTCAACGCTGACGGAACCATCCAGGATCCCGTTCTCGGAACCAAATTCAGCTTGAAGACCGGAGAAGTCGTCGGAAAGTGGTGCCCATCTGGAATCGGAAAGCTCATTGGAGGAGCTTTCTCCCCCATCGGAGTCCCAACCTACCCTGTAAAGAAGAGCGGAAAGAACATCGATGTTCAAGTTGATGTCAACGCTAAGTTCAACTTCGAAGCTCAATACTGGACCGGAATCTTGGATGCCCAAGGAAAGTCCGACGGAAAGTACTACTAAGCATTTCCACAATCCTTGTTGGGAATAACATGATTTTGACGGAGAGAAGTGTCGATGCATTTTATCTCTAGAGTACACTAGCGCATCCATTTCTACCACATCATCACCTGCGCAGGACGGACTACCGAAAGGCGCCAACTCTGTATGCAGTTGCCTGATCTATTATACAGTACCTTGTTTGATGCTAATAACCATAAACGGTAGGTAGAACTACTACCCATACGTATAATAATAAAGATTAGACAAAATCAGGAATCCATAACCGCTCTCTATGAATGTACGATGCACATACGACGAAGACGCTCCCGAATCCGCGCTCTGTAGACGAAGATCTCCAGTTCTTCCAAGAGGTCTGGTAAGGAATCTGATGATCCAGAAGCAAAGGTTATTGTAAATGTGACAAGATCTGACAATTTGGGTTGAATGTCTGTCATGACAAAAATTTTCATCACGTTCGTCTCGAAACGCAAAATATTACAGTGCGTACTTGTGAATGGTGGTATCACTGCTAGTACTACTAGTAGACTTTTGAGATTCCTTTTCATCCTCATTTTCCACTCTCATTCGCAAATAGTTAAGGAAAATCATGATTCCTAGTAGTACTAGTAGACTACTACTACTACTACTAGTAGTAGTATTACTTCTGTTGCTGATATTAGTCTTGGTACTAGTACTACTGATGTAGTAGTAGTACCATTAGTAGTATTAGTAGTATGTATCATTCTGTTGTTTCTACTACTATGAGATGGAATCTCATGAAGAAACATCTTGTCTTTATTGTTCTTCMCACCACTACTACTACCACCAGCAATACCACAAAAAGCCTCTGATCTGAGTACTAGCATTGTTGGCCAACCCTCATTTTCTTGTTGTTGTTGTTTCCATTATTGCAACACAGGGTAGTACTAGTAGTACTAGTACTAGTAGGAGTCGTATTAGTAGGTTTCATTTCCTCTACTACTACTACTACTACTACTACTAGCAGCTACTTTGTATTTACTTTCACACTTAGGTGTTTTGTTAGAGATAAACTACTAAAGAATAGAGATAGATAGGATATTATTTGTAATCCAAGGATGGAGTGAAACAGGTAGTTGAATCACCCAATACACCAGTGACTGGAGCCAATGTAAAAAAAACAGACAGAAGGAATGCAAGAAAGCAATATGAATTCAAGCTGTTGCTTAATAGTAAGAGTAGTTGTTGACCTTGACATCAAAGTGTAAAATCTAGTCAAGGGGCTGATTAACAAAGCAGCAGCAGCAGCACTAGTCCTTCAGGAAACCCAGCACCAGCAAACACGGAACAATGGACGTGGGAGGAGGAGTACTAGTACTAGCACTAGTAGTAGCTTTCATTTTCTACAATGTTGTTTGGTACTAGTAGTAGTTATATTGGTACTAGTAGTAGATGGTGTACTGCCAGCATTTCTGTGATATATCATGCTGGCATGACATTGCTAGTAGTACTAGTATACTACAAGGCTTCTGGAAATGGGGCAACACCACCACCATTTTGACATTTACTAAGTTTCTGACACCAATACAAAGAAGATCCTGATGTAGGAATCCTCTTGTCTAAGGAGAAAACAAGTAATGAACTTTACAATGGTGTATATCATCAGGTTCATTGTCCTTTTACGCATCTATTTTTGCAGCTTGAAAGCAGCTAGTAGTAGTAGTAGTAGTAGTAGTAGTAGTAGTAGTAGTAGTAGTACTACTACTACTACTACTACTACTACTACTACTACTAACTTCCACCATGCTCCCCTCAAAGAGTGGGGACAGCAGCACTAGTACTACTACTACCACCACTACTACTAGTAGTACTCATAGGTATCTGGTCAAGTCAGTTTGTGTTCTTTGCTGTGTCCCAAAGTATAAGAGACTGATGCCTGAAGCTCACTTGTGACACCTGTTTGAAATTCAAGCAGCCTGTTGTTCTTGGTGATTGCTGTACTAGTAGTTATTCCCCATTCAGTTGTGCAAATGTACTAGTACTACTAGTAGTACTCTTTTCCTTTACTAACAGGAGGATCCTCTTCATTGCTTCCTGGTGTGACAATGTCGTCTGTTTTGGTTTCTTTCTTCCTTTGTACTATTATATTGATTTTGTCTCCCATTCAAAGTTTTCGTCACTCACCCTCCTCCTCCAGCAGTATTACTATTGTTGTGTCATAGTACTACTACTATTAGTAAAACAATAAGCATATTGGACAGGGAAGCCTTCTTTCTTACTTTGACAGCACAACAAGGAGCAATTCTTGTTTCACTTCTCCCACCACACTAGTAATGCTACTACTGCTAGTAGTAGTGGTGGTGGTGGTGCTGGCTGGGACGAGTCTTCTTCTTACTACTCATCCTACGATTCGTCCTACTACTCATGGTGCTGGCCACCTCACCATTATCACAATGAAGTTATTCTGTGGGATGTGCAGAAGAAGGCTACTAGTACTAGTACTACTAGAAGTGGTCACTGCTTTTGCTTTGAGGGGGACACATGTCAATGGTTTGCAAATAGGTGATTGGAGTTCATGATTTTCTTGCAGTGCTGAGGATTACTGAACTTTTATTGTGTACTGCTTCGCTTTGCTTTCATAATGATCGATTCCAACCGACTCCAAATCGTACCGTTCTCTTTTCTGTAGAATTTCATTAGTTGTACCTGATAGTATCGTGAGAAAATTATCGCTTAGTCTCTTACCTCGCATCTGGTACCGTATTACAGTAGATAAAAAGCGTCGGATTTTGGAAGAGCGCATAAAACAAATCTGACAGTATTGAATTTCTTGCGACTCTCAGAAGTCGACGCTTATTGCGGCTTGCCGAAGTAGGAGTTTCTTTCATTTCGCTCCAGAGCATCCACTCTACTGGAGGTGTAGGACAGTGAAAAACGGTCGTATTGATACTCAAAAATCACATATCATCGACAGCAATGGCGAGCACCGTTGATCTACTGCCGAGCAATTTGCAGCAAACACTACAATTGATCATCGAACGATCCAATGCTTCTGGAGGTGGCATACGAGTCATACTGTTGTCGACCGCAGAAGGGTAAGGTTGACAAATCGAACGATTAATTTTTGATTGAAAAATCCAAGTTCTGGAATAATCTCACTTTGATCTTGTTGTTCTATTCAGTGTTCCTCTGGGTCGGGTATATTCTTCTGCAGATCATGCATCGCCCCTAGACGAAGAAGTGTTGAGCAACATTGAGAGTACCTGGGCTCCTGCTAGCAAACAATTTCCTCTGCTTCACATGGGGAAGGAAGTGAAGGTAGTGACAGCTATATATGATAATCGTGAGTAGTACATTTCACATCAAGTTAACAAAATCAGATTTTGATACCAAAATATGAAATTGCTTACGATTCAATCCTTTTTTCTTGAACGAAACTTAATTTTGTGACTTGATACAGGGACAATCTTCCATATTTATCAGGCGCCTGTGGTTGTTACATTACTTGTTGGAATGAATGCAAATCTAGGAGCTGTTAGGTCGACCGCAATTCCATTGCTGAAAGAGATATTAGAACCCTTATGTTCCACACTACTGAATAGCTTAGCACCCGCGCAGACAGACCATGGTTATCCGCAACAAGGTTATTACCAGTAAAGAAGCTTTAACGTGAAAGTTTAATGAATTCTTTTTTGCAGGTTGCTTCATGGTTTGCTAAAGCTTTACTTGTCCTCTTGAATTTAGTGCTCAGTTCCGACACATCGGTCGTCGACTTTTTTAAATGGAGTTCTACCGTTTGTTTCAGTGCCTTGTTTTGTTCCTCTAGTGCTATTACCCGAGTGTTTAGATTGTTTATAACACCTTGGTACTCCATCATTCGGTTTACGGCAAGCAGTAGATGAGCACTTGCATCTTCCGCGAGGTGTGCATGCATGTCGCATGCCCGCACAAACTTCGAGCATCCGATATTCTTAAATGGGCATTCCACGGTACGCAGTGTGCAAACTTGTGCGTTATGGACAGCAAGTTCATGGCGGGGAAAACGAGCTCCACATTCGCATTCAATTATTTTGTAAGGACACTGCTTATCGTGTTCATCAAGATACATTCTTGACATAATCAGAGGGCAGCCTTCATTGGAACATCGAACTCTGAAAAATTTGCAATCCTCACCACAATTTGGTCGGTCACAATGGAGCTGGTAATTGGGATCTAGCTTCTTAACAATGAGGGTTGATATCGTGTCGCATTCCATCTCAGACGTACACTGACGTCTTACCACAGCTTTGCGTTTTTCAAAATCTTCGTTTCCGGTTCGTTTTTCGAAAGAAAAGTCAACGCTTTTGAACAATCGATTCATGACTAACGGGAAGAAGAATAAGACGTCAGAGCTACATCACTCTACACACAGAGACTTCTCGTGCCCAATGCGACGGAGTGCATGGAAGGCTTACCTGTCGTCGCCTGCTCGTTTTCAATGAATGTTTCAAGATTTATTCGTAGCTGATCTAATTGATAGAAAGCATCGGAACTAGTTTGCCGGTTGGTGTTCTCAGGCTGGCGGATAGAAATGTTCAGTATTCTTTCTTTCAGGGGAAGCGCTACTGCATCTGAATACTTTTTTGGACTATGGAGCAGCGAGCAGTATGTAAGAGCGTCCAACAACAGTTGGCCTAAGGCGTTTGTGGCAGAAGAATCTACTTGAGAGCATTTCTCTGAAATAGTTCGGCTGGAGAAAACGAAGAAAGGGATGAACAAAACTGAGTTGGTATGGTAGTTCCTGGTATTAGTCATGTACTCAATTTGAAAAGGGAATGGTACTCACTCAACAAACTCATCTGGATTGAATATTTTCGTCCGATACAGCCTTCGGAAGCGGACCCAGTGCATCATTCCACGAGTAGGATTGGCATTTTTAATTGATTCCGGTCGAAAATCCTTGGCGTACATCCATTGTGTGGTTGCCTTAAACTCCTCCTTTTCATACTTCCAGCCGCGACCTAATAGCACCAGATCTTCACTTGCTTCAGTCGTAGATTTCCAAACGATTGAACCATCCGTAGACGAGAATGGTCCCCTGTCACTTGGCAAGAGCCCTTTTCTTCCGAAGCCCCCGCCAACCCAATATCTCTCGTTTTCGTCAATTTCGACGATGGTCTCCATAGCAGTTCAATAGGTACTACGTTCGTACTCAATTTTCATGCATTCTCATCGGCCAATCCGGTTGCATTGTCAGGTCATATCCATTAATCGTTGAGACTACTGTACAACGCTATGCAGCTACTCCACAAAAGTTTGCTCATCCAATACGTTACTGTATCGAGGATTTCAGAATCTTGGAGAAATATGGTCATAACGGTACGTTGTACTCGTACCTTACGGTACCGTACGTAGATTCAGGAGCTTACTACTGTATTACTACTCCATGGCACAAACAAGCATGATCAACCAGGCACAAGAAAAATTTAAGGTGACATTTTAATCGAGTCCCGAATTGTGCGATCGAATGAATCAACAATCAACAGGCTCTCAACAAACAGCGCCATTAACAACACGAACTGCTACCCTCCTTAAAAAAGCTGCCGGTGGTATGGTTTTGTTGACAGTCAAAACATTCAGGCGCTGCATTATCCGGACCAAGAGCGAACATAATAATAGCAATACAGGACAAAATAGTCCCATTTACAATACAAAAATCACACAGAGAATATGAGTGAGTGTGTAGAAGTCTTGCAAGGCATTCTTCTGCGACAAAATGTCCCATAACAATGAATGCGTCAGACGGCCTTCACCATCGAGCGGATTATTCTCATGATTCTCTCACCCTTTGCCGTTCTAAAAATCTTCATTTTCTTCCTGTAATTTAGGTCACGTAGGGGTGCCTATCAAACTTTTGTATGAGGCGGAGGGAATGAAGGTCACTGCAGAGGTAGGTGATGCGAATATCGTCGATTGCGGTTCGAGGTTTTCCTGGGATTATGGTTATGGCGTCAAATTGAGTCCGGTTTGAAGGTGGAAATGCATTCATTCTAACTGTGATCTTACTCTACTCTTTAGATGAAAAATGGCGAGATCTTTAGAGGGCTACTCTTGAGTGCAGAAGAGACAATGAATATGACACTTTCAGATGTTTTGAGGACAGCAAGAAATGGTCAAATATCAAAACTTCCAAGTGTCTACCTGAGGGGGAGCAGTATCCGATTCATTGCGCTTCCCGATATTCTCAAGAGCGCACCCGTCTTTCAGAAGGTTACGGCGATGAAGAGGAAAATGGAAAAAGAACTACAGCAACGCCAGGAGGGTAAGCCAAGAGTCTTGTGTCCCTTGCAGATTTCTGGTTTGTTTTGAATTTTTTCAATGCAAAAAAAAATTCTGATATTTTTTCGCGTCCCATTTTATAGCAGGAGGAAAGAGGAAACGAGGGGACTAATTTATCTGATGAGTTGGTAAACTACTGAGCCGCTTCGATGTCTTATTTTGTACCAACCGTCGACAAAACATTTGTTTCGACATAAATTCTTACAAAAACTAGTAAAGGGGTTGACCATTCTGCTTTGTTATGACTGCATTCGCCCATATTCGCTGTAACTTTGTTTCAATATACTTTTAGCAGTGTGAATGAAGTGATCGTTCCCCCCCTTCTAACTGGGTATCGTTTTATTCGTCAAAAGTCTAGCATCGTTTCAGCTAAAATTTCTGTCGTTTTCGTCCAGCCCCTCCCCCCTATCACTGCCAAATGTATTTAGATCCCTTTACAATGGCTTTTGTGGAGTGTTTGGCAAATAAATCCCAAATCGTTTCTTGCAAGAAATGCGTTGTCTGCTAAACTTGTCATCAGGTGAAAATCGTGCTGGATGAGCACTTTCTGTGATCTTCCCCGCAGGAGTCTCTTTCTGAGGATTTAAAGAAATCAGCCATCCAATCACAGAGTGTAATCGCACAATGTTAGATGTAAGCGAATTCATACGATGTAATCTTTAAATCGAAAAACAGAATATTCTGCACAGCAGTAGCTCTCGACAAAGCGCCTCGTCGCAGGAAACTTGCCTTGAGGGTGTAGACTCGTTTGCCTTCGGAGTCAAGGTAGTACATCAAGTGCATATTGCTGGTATAAATTAGAAACGCGATGCAGGTGCTTTGAGGGTTAGCCTATGGGTATTGGTTGACAGCCTTTTTATGACAGCATCGTAGCCGAACTTCATCCATCGCTCATCGATCACCGACATTCCACACACGGTAACAACCCTTGTTCCAGTACTTACGCCGTACGTACTTACATACCGTAGAAGATTTCGATTTTAGAGATGACAGATTATGTTCTGATTTGGTGCTGATTGGTTGTAGTGTTACCGGTACAGTGAATGAAATTTTACTAAACGCGCGCGTTTTAGAGATTTCGCGCAGAAGACTGAACAATAGAACTGGGACTTCCAGATTGGAATCAATCACACATAATGAATGATGTTCAAATGACGGCTTTTGATTTGTTTTCCACAGCGCGCGGGGTGGGCGCAAAAATTGCCTAAGATCAGGTAAAGGACCGAGAAGAAAAATTAAACACACACACAACCGAGTGTTTGAGAAAATTCCATCGGGAGCTGTGCATCGCAGCAACAACGGTGAACACCTTCTCACCTATAAACTTGAGCAACATTCTTCTAGCGAGGATACGCGGGTTCATACTAGAGACACATAAAGGAGGGAGGTTTTTGTGCACCAATTCCGCAAGTCTTGATTGGAACGTAACTGTCGCATCGTGAGTATATCGGTGCGACGCTTCAAGGTGCCGTAGATTTACTAGGCGTTATTCTCGACTCCAATAGTGACTCTCGTGCGTTTTTGAAAGTACGCATTTCCGGTGTATCACAAGAGGTCTTCCATGCTTCTCATTAAAGCAATCGGTCGATCGAGTACGACAAATTTTTGTGATTTCCAGTGTGAAAGTTTCGTCAGTCTTCAAAATTGTGAATACAATACATTCTTCCATCTCTTCTTCCCGAGAAGAACCTCAAATAGTAGAACCATGGTCAAAAAGATAACTAAACCAAATGAAAATGACGTTCTCCTAGGCAGGGGTGGGAAGAACAACCAGTGGGTTGGTAACGAGAAACTTCGCAATCTTGCCCGGGGACGATGTCACTTATATCAAGTGGCATCAAAGAAAGAAAAGTCGCAGATATCGAGAGCATTAGTAGGAGAAGTTCGACAGATGAAACCTCAGGGAAGGTACGATGTCCACGTTGTCATTGTCGTAGAATCTTGCTATGGAACAATTGCAGATTTTATACTCACAACAGAATGCATTTTTGTAGGTTTTTACGGAAGTGTATCGAAAGCTCGAACGAATGGGAAGATGTAGGCGATGAAATAGCAAGAGAAAAAGCAAGTCAAGTTCTTCGCGATGCAATTCAAGCAAAAAAATCATTTCTCGTTGATCACGATAATAGTAGTCTGAACGATACCAGTCCCATTGTCAAAAAAAGAGGCTATGATGATACAAAAAACACGAAAGAAGAGACTCCTGTTGCCAAATCAAGAAGGAAAGATCCGCCTTGTAGGACCGAGGAAATTCCTGTACAACAATCGTTTCCATCGGGTCGTCGAAAGCCAATACCCACACTAGTAGAGAGAAAACGTCGTTCCTTACATGAAGGGTATCAGCCTGCGGCTCATGTATATTCATCTGCTTCAATGCCGATGCAACACCCGTACAGCTCATATGGCCGCGTTACTCGAGCTCCTCTCAACAACGTATCTATAAGTAGTTCGAATTATCCGAAAGAGAAACTACAGAATTTTGAACTGTCATCGATTCCATACCAGTATCCAGTGACACCTTCGAGTGCAATGATCGCCCCCGCACTAACACGAAAACGATCTAGATATTGTCAAGAATCGCCTCTTGTACATGGCTTTCACCGGTATCCATATCCAACGCCAATACGATGTGACGCAAATCCCGGTACCCCATCAGCATCAATAGTGTTCACACCAACCCCCAAAAGCAAAGTACGGGGATTGACGTTCTCTCCACCGAATCCAAGAGCAAATGGGTCGCCCAGTACAAGGTATGAGCAAACGGATCACTCTCCATCTTCCACAAGATGCATTTCAACATTTAAGGTCGACCCAACCCTGGCACCATCGAAAATTCCATACTCTGACAATCAAAACTCAGATTACCTTACGTCATCATCTACTAGATGCATCTCAACATTAAAGACCACAGAGAAGGATCGATCGAGAACAAACGGAAGAACCCTCTCTCCAAGAGCTCCAATTCAGGATTCGAAACCATCTATCGGCACTAATGGGGGAGGTAGCAGCCAAGATTTTCATTACTTGTTCAATGAAGATGTTCTGTCCGATTCTGCCGAACTACAAGACGATTTAATCTTTTAGTACTAGTAGCCTGATGATATTTTGGTAAATCATAATAATCACTGTCAAAGATTTGAAATAATATCATCTTCTGATCAGAAAAGATTTTTTCTATTATTGAGCAGATCAAAGCTGCTATTTGTATCTACCCTTCCTACTGAAAACATTTTAGCTGTTGTAAAGAGCAGAAGAAAAACAACAAAAGAAGGAGGAAGTCAAATCGTACTACTCCAGCAATACATTGTTGTAATCCTACTACTACTAGTATCCTGATTAGAACTATCAATATTCCTTCTTCTACTACCATTGATAGCAGTACATCACACATGTGGCTGTTGTAGTATTAAGAAGAACCAAGAATATTGTGTGTTTCTTGTTACTAACAGCATTGCCTACTACTGCACTACTACTACTACTACTACTACTACTACTACTACTACTACTACTACTACTACTACTAGTAGTTCTAGTAGTTTTTATTTACTAAAAATTTACATAACAAGGAATAAAGTGTCTAGCTAAGGAAAAGAAAGCATTGAAGAATGGAGTTTGGATGCCAAACATATTCCAGATATGGTGGAATGATATGGAATTGGATTTCTGCACAACAGTCTAGTAGTATGAAAGGAATAGTGATAGCAAACTGCAGCTGGAAAAGAGGACCTAAAAGTGTAGTACAAATTGATTGAATCAGTTAGAGCTCTTACTAGTACTACTAGTAGTACCACCAGGAGTTAGAATACTCCTGCAGTTCGAAAAAGTACTACAAATAATAATCCTTAAAGCAACAGTACTACTACTAGTACTAGTTGTTGTTGTTCTTGACTCCAACACCACCACTGGTGTTTCTTTAATCACCAGCAGATGGTTATATCAAGAATCCACCAGTGGCTAATAGTAGTTCCACTGCTAGTAGTACTACTATGCAGCTTGAGAAAAGAATCAGCTATTACTAGTAGTACTACTAGTGGTGTTGAAAAGGATTATTTCAAATTGATGACAAAGGCACAAGGACCCCTACTACTACTACTACTACTATCAGGGATGGTGTGCTGTTCTGGTTAGCTAGCTAGTAGCACATCAAAAAGGCTTGGCTCCTTTGCTCTGGCTTCTTCTTTCTGAAAAAAGTGTAAACTAACTGCACTCCTCATTTTAATGCAAATGCAGTGGTGCTTTTCCATGTGCTCTGCTTGATTCTACTTCTTGTTGCCTACAATTTCCTGGCAGCTTCTCTTCTCTGTTGTTGGAAAGTTTGGGATCACTGTTTAATACTGGTGAGCTCCTGTTAGTTCTTGAATTCACTACATCTTCAGCTTGACTGCTGTTTAACTCACTTGTCAATGCATAGTACTACTAGTAGTACCAAATGATGATTGGTGTTGAGATCTTCGTTCCATGATAGCTAGGAGGAGTAGTAGTACGTCACAAAAAGTGATCGCGGGGTTTGGTCGCACCCCCATGCGCGTAGTTTTTGTGCGACCACTTAACACGGGTAATTTGTGATTATCAAGCTTGGTGACGACCCCCGTTTTGCGATTAATTTTGTGACACATTTCGTTTCTC